GGGAAAATCCCCCCAAAACTCAAGAGCCCACCGATGTGGGACAAAATTTTGCCAAATTCAACATTAATAACATGTCGTGCAACGAAAGGGACATGTGAGAATTTGGTCTTAGCTAGTGGAACACGAAAGACATGGATCTATATTCAATACGCAAGGATTTCTTCACAAAAAAGAGAAGAATTCCCCTTACTTTCTTTTTGCTCCGCTCATGCGTGGCACTCCTTGCTCGCGGAGCGGCATATCGAAAAAAAGAAGCGGCTACCTTACTTAAGCAATTCTTCTTATTCTTATTCTTTCTTAGTTGTAGTTCCTATATTGGTTTTTTTCTTTGTAGGTTTCTTAGGGCCCTCCGTCTTCAGAACGGTCTACCTGGCCACTATGAATGAATGTCGTAAAAGGCAATGTGAACTCCTACGACTCCTCTTAGTCTCAGGGACGGATTGAACAACAGTTGTTAGGGAAGGATCTCCATCATTGATTCATCAGAAGCAGCCCCACTTACTTTTGAGTCTATCCGCTGCAACAAGGGCTGCAGGAACGAGTGTTGTGCTTGCCCTGACCGATACCACCATTCAATATCGTGAACCAGCCCCTCTTCAGTATAGGCAGATCTTTCTTTAGAACAGATTCATTCCAGAACAGAAAACCGAATTTAGAATCAGAATCGCACTTGGGAAATTGCTTGATTTATGAAAGAAAGAATGACGTAGGTAGATAGAAGTAAAGGAGTTCCCGTCGAAGGGCAAATGATTCATTTAGAAAAGATCCGATTCCAAGTGAATGAAGAAAAAGGGCTCTATTTTTGTATAGTAATTCCTTTCATTCGTTCATGTCTTTACATAAATTTTCTCCTTTTATTTGCTTATAATATCTTACATATACTCTTTTTCTTTTGTTCTTTGTTTTAAAAGGAAAGAAATTGGAAAGAATGAAACCCTATCTGGACCATCAACAACCACCATGGTGAGATGCTCATTCCTTTGCTCAATTAAGACCCAAAGCACGTATTTTTCGTCAACTACATGGCGAACAATGAAGCCTTTCAAAAGTATATATTTTATGGAAGAAAAAAAACCCCGATTAGATCATCATTAATGCATTTTAATAGAGTAGAAACAATACCTTTGTTCTCCAAATTTTGACCAGGTCATACTTCAAGCTATAACTCGAGAATATGTTAGGTTAACCACCTTAATTTTTGTTTATATGCATATTGCATACGTCTATAAAGCAAAGGCACTGACATGTTTCGAAATCATCGCGATGTGATTTAACATATGACAAAAGTATTATAGTCCATCTGTTTCATTTTACATAACACTTAAGTTTTGGCCGTTCCAATAGAAGAATTTTATTTTAAAAAATTTAACTGTATACTTTTCAGTTTACTTCAATGACATGATTTTATAGACACATAGGTGTCGTGGCGTGTTTATTTAGATGAAGCCAAGGAGAATTTAGAGATATGCACTTGATCCATTTAGAGAGTTATCGACAAGTTGTTAGATCACTTGACATTTCACTATATTTAGGTTTATATGTTCTTATAGACATTTTAACTAAAGGAAATTTTAACAATCTTTTTATGTTTTACAAAAAACTACAAAAGCTAATATTATTATGCTAATCTTATTGAAGTATATGTAATGTATCGGCTTATAATTGAAGTACCAATTTTTGTAGATGCCCCTTCATGTTATTATATTCAACCATATTTGAATAATATTTTCCATTAGCAACATTATTAATAGTCATACTAAAAAAAATAACCTAGCCACAACAAAATTTCCATAAATTTCACTATCAAATAATGTTGAATTGCAAATTTTAATTCTATGTGAAAATACATTAGCAAGTTAGATTCATATTGAAAGTACTTTAAAGTATGACCGAATTGAGGTTCCCTATATACTCTGATATAAATACTCTGATATAGATAAGCAATTTGACTTGGATTGAATCTTTTTTCTTCAAACGTTTCGCAAGTAGAAAGATCAATATGATTTCTCTGGATCAATGTTGAAAGAATGATATGTAGGCTTTTTGATTTTATTGTTTATAGGTATGGGCTAATCAATGTTGAAAGAATGATATGTAGGCTTTTTGATTTTATTGTTTATAGGTATGGGCTAAGCAAATATTCTTATATATAGCAAAAATAGTGGGAATCACTCTCCACTTTGTAGGCCAACTTGTTCCACCCACAAGGTAACCCGACTTGTAATTAACTCAAAGGTATTCCAAAGCATAGTTTACATACTCACGTCCATGTTGAAAATAAATCTTCAGACCCCATGTCCCTATTTTTTTCTCCTCAAAGTAGGTGGTCCCTCTGTCTTTTTAGGACGAATGTCGTCTACATTATTAGAGAGTTGGGATTGAGCTTTTACTGAATGAAGAATTTATAGGTAAAATCAACTAGTGCTTTATGCTCTTTATTTCTCAATGATAATTGACACCTCCATTGTCATTTGATTGAACTGGGTCGTTCAATTCTGATCTCTATTGAGAAATATGAAGGATTTTTCCCTTAAGGATTCTTGGACATTCAATGCCTTTGAATATGACTAATTTAACATGCAATGTGATGCGCGCATAACATCTACAATATCTGGCTGGGTTTTGCCAGTATCAACAAAAAGGAAGAAACAACTAAACAGAAATAAAAACTAACTATGACTCTTGGCCCAGACCACGTCCTAGGCGTAGGGTTGATCGATTAATGGTTGCTGCTCCTTTATATATTTTAAAGAGTTACAAGAAAATGCTTATGGATAATATCATCAATACTCGAATACAATAGAATGTGTGTGACACATAAGAAACTTAAAGATACATCAACATGATCACAACATTCAATATTTTTAAGCGCACGATACATCCCTGCATGGAACCATGCACAGGAATGAGATCCAATAAAATCAATTTCTCAAGTTATAATGTCAATGTTCATATGATGATACATGTAATATTTTTTGACATGAGGAGTCTCAAGTAGAAACACCAGTAGCATACAAATTGAAATCACTAATAAGGATGATAAGAGTATTTTGTTAACAATCAAAAGTCATGTATATACAGAAAGATGTTCAATCTTGGATTCTTCACTTTTATTTATGAATCCTAACAAGAGAAACAATTATATGGGCCCTGTTAAGGAGATATATCTTATAAATGATTATATCAGTCACTAGGTTATGTCAAAGGGTTGTGGTAGACTAAGAATATCACGATATCCCCAACTATAATTTCTTAAAGAACACCCAGGGCGTTTGCTTTCAGGATAAACTCTTGACAAAAAGTACACATCCTGTCAAAGAATAAGGTGGTTCTTGTTATTTATGTCATAATAATTCTCTTACCCCCGCTATAATCACATGCAAAAAAAAGGTCTCTCCTATGCATCAATAGACCGACTGTAACCCTAATGGAACTTAACAAATTAGTACAAAGCGTGTCTGTATCAGACGTATATGGCTAGGTGTCATCCTAGAGATTCGCCAGATATTATTCTTCCCGACTTTCTGAAGTAATAATAAATAATTTGATAAACATATTTGATAATCGAGTTCTCGATAGTAAAGTACAAACAAACTGAAACTATATACTCCCTCCTTTTTCAATTTATGTAAATCTATTTTCTTTTTGGTCCGTGCCAAAAAGAACGATCGCTTTCCTTATTTGGAAACAATTTACTTTTATGCAATGATTTATAGCCATACAAAATATATGTGCCTCATTTTACACCACAAGTTCAAAAATCTTTTTTTTTTTAAACTTCGTGCCCAGTCAAATGAGTTCACATAAATTGAAACGGAGGGAGTATATGTTAAGAGCGTGAAGGAACCTGCTAGGGGTGGAAGATTCGTAGAGGGTACCACGGTCCGAGAAGACGACAACAGCAACATCGACATCGCAAAGAATGGAGAGTTGTTTGGCTTTCTTTATCAGTCCTTTCCTCCTTTTACATAACGTCACTTGTCTGCTACTCTTCTCTTCGATTCGCTTCATCTCTACTTTCTTCCGTCCCATTAATTAATTCGCCCCAATTGCAGATCTTTTAGGGTTCTTTTTCTATATATATAATTCTATCACTATCTAGGGATTTTTATATTGTTTCCATTTTTCGTTTCACTCTTCTTCCCCGACCCCAACACCTATTGATCTCTCCAGTGTCCCTTCGTCTATCTTTCGTTTAATTCTGTTAAAGGGGAAGGGGTAAAGGATAACTGTTGAGATGGGGTTGACGCTTGGACTTTATATTAAGAGACCGATTGACACTGCTGCGTTAGATTTGGTAAATTCGGCTGATTGGCTGCCGGAAATGGGATGGAAATACTTTCCAAATTAGAATATCAATCAATTAGGGGAAGATTGCTCCATTGGTTCGCTTCGATGGGTCCAATCGTACGTTTTCTCATTCCTTTCTTTTGTCATACGCGAAATTAAATCTCTTGATTTGCTCTAAACTAGTAAAATAAAAAAATGAAAAAAAAAGAGTTGATATCTTTCATTTACTATATTCTTCTTTACGTATTTCTACTAACTAGTATTTCGGCACGTGCGTTGCACATGTATACCGAGTTATATTATTATATAAGAAAGAATTAAGTACAAGTGCATGTGGATCATCATATATTGACGACAAGTTTTATTTCGTTTCTCATATAACTGACACTAGTTGTGTGAGACTTCTTTTTGTCTCACAAATTTGTGGACCCCAATCTTACACTTCTGGATCCACAAAAATCTGGGTCCACAAAACTGTGAGACAAAAATATGTCTCATACAATTAGTGTCAATTGTATGAGACACAAAATAAAAATTTTCTATATTGACTTATTTATCGAGATCAAGATGATTAGATATCGTTTGAACCTATAAAAATAAAATAAAAACTTAATTAGGTAGATGTGACTTTTTTAAGTTATTTCGACTTATGGGGTACAAATATGTAATGTAGTGTATCTCACATAATACTTCTTATAGACAATATTCATGGTATATATTGCTTTTATCCATTTCAATGGTCACATTGATATTTCTTTTAAAAGTGTAACATGAAGTTAGCCATGTGAGAAAACTAACACTGAATTGGCTTCTCAAATATATTGGCCTCTTTAAGTTCTGCCATAGCGCTATGAATCAGTCTAAGCGCATCAGATCGAACAAACAAATGTGAATTGTCCGAAACATGTATGATGAACTTTTATGTTTGAAGCAATAATACAGCATTGATATTGAAAGTGAACTGCACAATAAAAAGTGTGCGTAACGATCCGATTGGTCGTTTTGCTTTCTAAAACTCCGTTCTCCTAAATGAGACTTTCCGTACTTGCTTTTACTGATTTATAACTTGCGGGGATGGTTGGTTCGGGATTTAGAAAAGTTTTGGTTGAAATCGGAACACTTGATTCCTGAAGGTTGGTTTAAAAGGCCAAGTTTGACTTCGGTCAACGTTTTGAGTAAACGGCCTCAGAATCAGTATTTGAGGGTGGTTCCAATAGGTTTGTATGATTATTTCGGACTTGGGCGTATGTTCAGATTGGATTTTGGATGACCCGGGAGTGTTGTGGCGCTTAATAGTGAAAGTTGATTCCTTAAGGATTTTGAAGTTCTTTAAATTTGGTTTGGAGCGGCTTTTTGTGATATCGAGGTCCGAAAAGAATTTCGAGACCGGGAATAGTTCTGTATTGTCATTTAAGACTTGTACGCAAAATTTGGTGTCAATCCGAGTAGTATAAGTGTGTTTCGTTTTATTGGAGGTAGACTGAAGAACTTGAAGTTCATAAATTTGATTCAATTGGTTTTAGGGGTGATTCCTAGATTTAGCATTGTTTCGGGCGTTCCAAGGGTTCGAGCGAGTCCATTTTATGATTTCAAACTTGTCAGTATGTTCGGCCGGGGCTCAGGGGCCCCGAGCGTCAATCGGATGAGGCTCGAGTTAGGTTAGAAAATTTTAGAAGGAGCCGAAGCTCCAGGCATCTGTCATAACCGCACCTGCGATTGGCCAGCCGCAGGTGCGAGACCGCAAAAGCAGCCCATCCATCGCAGATACGGCCCCTCTGCCGCAGAAGCGGTCCCCAGACCGTAGATAAGGCCCCAGCTAGCCGGCTCAGTTCCGCAGATGCGGTCCTTCCCTCGCAGAAGCGAGACCGCATATGCGGTCCCCTAACCGCAGGTGCGGTAATCGCTGAAGGCAGTGCCTTCATTTAATACGGGAATGTGTCATTTTTGACATATTTCATTCATTCCTTGGGCGATTTAGGAGCTTCCAAAGAGGGGATTTCAGCCTAGCATTGTGAGGTAAGTTATGTCTACTTATTGTGGGTTTAATATATAGTTGGGGGTAGATTACAACATATAAATTAGTAAGAAATTGGGGGTTTAGAGTAAAACCTAGGGTTTTGATAAAAACACGATTTAACTACGAAATTTGTTATGGAATGAAGTAAAATCATATATTTTTTATCCTTAGGTTATGGGTAACAACTTCCCTCGACAATTTCCGGAATCCGGGCACGTGGGTCCGGAGATGGATTTTAGGTAACTTGTATATAGGATTGGAAAATTACTTTAATAGTTAGGATATGAACTCTTGAGCTTGTATTGACTAGTTCTTACCCCGTTTGAATAGTTTTGGATCGTTCGGCTCCGAATTGAGGGTTTGAGCGCGTTCTTGAAATTGGTAGTAAGCTTTGGACCAAGGTGAGTCTCCTTTTTAACATCGTAAGAGGGAAATAACTCCTCTAGGTGAATTAAATAAATGTATTTGACTATCTGTGGGGGCTACGTACGCACGTGGTGATGAGAGTCCGTGCGTAGCTACTATTATGCTAATTGTCTGGGTAGCTTAGGGCCCGTATCATGTCATACTTGTAAATGTTTACGTTTTTGCTTGCTACTGAGTTCACTAGGATATGCTAGGAGTTGTAAATAAATATAAACGAATGTAAGTACTTACTTGAGAACTTGTATGAATTTATTTGACTATAAATGAGCAATGTGTGCTTACTTGATAATAATTGCTATTTGTGGATCAGACCGATCGCCTCAGTAGAAATAGATGCACCTATGGTTCGCGCCATTCGACCCTCTGGCAGTGCACAATTATTATTATATTGAATCAGACCGTACGACCTTGGTATTATGTGCAGATGTTATTTATATGGAATTCATTCATGATTTACTCTTTTTAAATGCTTTGAAATGTAAATTACTATATGACATGACTGAAATTGATATATTTTGTTTCTCCTTGTTCTGAGACTGTCACTATATTCATGCTATCCATGCTTAGCGTAAACCTTAAATATTATTGATATTGACCTTAGTAAGTGTCAAGTAAACCCCTCGTTATTACTTCTTCGAGGTTAGACTGGATACTTGCTGGGTACATATTATTTATGTACTCATATTACTCTTATGTACTTAACTGTACAGGATCTGAGGCAGGTGCATCTAGTTACCCGTCCGTCACGCGTTCCTGATTCCTGATCGAGATCTCACGGTGAGCTGCCCCTTCTGAGCCGTTCAGCAGCATACCAGAGTTCTCTTCTTTTGTTGTTGTTATGTATTGTCTACTCTGTTTCAGACAATAGGATAGTGGTATTTTATACATTCTACTAGTTTCCCTAGTACTTGTGACACTAGTTTCTGGCACGCAGTTTGTAGACTATTATTTTGAGATGTATTTCTATTATTTGAACTCGTTGATTTTCGATTGTCTAATGGTTAATTTTAAGACTAAGAAAAACATTTGGGATTGTTTTGGTAAAATAAATGAGAACTCACTAGTTTATTAGGGTTGGCTTGACTAACAACGGTGTTGGGCGCCATCACGATCTATAATGGAATTTGGGTTGTGACAACATGGTATCAGAGAACTAGATTCACATAGGTCTCACAAGTCATGGGCAAACCTAATAGAGTCTTGTGGATCGATACGGAGACGTCTGTATTTATCTTCGAGAGGCTAGTGGGTGTTAGGAAACTACTCTTTATTCATATCCTATCGTGCAATTGATGGTATACAAAATTTTCTTCTTCTATTCTATCACAGATGGTGAGGACACACACGGTAGATGTTCCAAACCCGGGAGGAGTTGCTCCCCTCATTGCTAGAGGCCGAGGTAGAGGCAGAGGCCGAGGGAGGGTGCCGACCCACAGTAGGGGACGAGGGCGCCCCTAGAGCTGCCCTAGTTGCGGGGAATCCTAGCATTGAAGAGCAGGGCTAGGTGCCCGTAGCTGAGCCTACCCCGACGGACTTTATGACAACACCAGGTTTCTAGGAGGTCATGGGCCGTATGTTGCGGTTCATGGATTCCATGACTCAGGCTGGTTTATTTCCAGTAGACCCAGCCACATCTCAGGTGGGAGGGGGAGCACAGACCCCTACTGCTTAGGCTCCTGGTCATGCAGCTGCAGTGTACCAGACTCCGGTTGTACTACCTGCGAATGGGGCTCAGCCAGTTGCTACAGTGGTACCCGAGCCCAGAATAGCTGTGGATGGCGATCCGTAGAAGTTATTGGACAGATGGACTAGGCTACACCCTCCTATATTCGGAGGTGGGCGTCATGAGGACGCCCAGGATTTCATTGATAGGTGCAGGGACAGACTGCACAACATGAGGATTTGGAGTCTCATGGGGTTGACTTCACTACATTCCAGTTGGAGGGCAGGGCCCGTAGATGGTGGCAGTCTTATGTTCTTGGCAGGCCAGCGGGTTCTCCTCCCATTACTTGGGGTCAGTTCACACAGCTTTTCCTGGATAAGTATATTTCACCCTCTGAAAGGGAAGAGTTGCGGTATCAGTTTAAGCAGCTTGAGTAGGGTCAGATGTCGGTGACCGACTATGAGGCGAGGATTTCTGAGTTGTCCCGCCATGCATTGATGATACTTCCTACTGACATAGAGAGGGTGCGAAGGTTTGTTGCTGGGTTGCATTCTGGTATTAGGGCCAACATGGCCCGAGAGGTGGAGATGGGGACTCCTTATCAGCTGGTAGTAGAGATTGCTTGGAGGATTGAGGGCTACCGTCTGAGAGGTAGAGAGCAGATGCAACAGGACAAGAGGGCCCGATTATCTGGAGATTTTAGAGGTGCCCCGACTAGGGGCAGAGGTCAGTTTGGGAGGGGTCAGCCCAGTAGGCCCCCATATTCAATACCACCACCTAGGGGTGTCAATGGATATTCGAAAACTGACTAAAGCGTACCGCACCGAACCAATTTTTAGGATTTAAGAAACCGTAGGTTTTTATATAATTCTATAACCGCACCGATAATTAGGGTAGGTTTTTTATTTTATAAAAATAAACCGAAAAAATACCGAACCATACCAAATAAATTTTACATGTGGAACATATATTTATTTAGTAAGTTTAAAAATAATAATGCATTAAATTTTCTTTGGGCCTTGGAATTATGAAAACTGTTACAAGCCTATAATTAAACTCAAAATACTAATTCCTAAAACCTATTATGTTACTTCTACTTAAACTAAGTTATTTCAAGTATCTTTATTAGCAAGACACAAAGTATTCTAGCGATTATGAGTAGCAAACTACAATGTATTGAATATGTTTCCTTTTATATAATTAAGATTTATCTTTTTGAATATTTAATCTTCTATAAACTTTATTCTTGAGTCCCCAACTTGGTATATCTTTCAACTCGTGTGATTTATATTTTCTTTGCCTTTGTTTGATTTCTTTTACATTGTTGTAGAATAGTTGATGGATCTATACTCTAGCCATCTTTCTTTTTTTTTTTCTTTTTTTTAATTCATCACCATTTAAACAGTAAAAATGTCTAGAGAGTTTTGTTAAATCCTATAAAAGAACGTATGTTATTGCATTCTACTTCTACTGGTGAATTCTACATGATATTAAAAAAATATCAAAAATTAACCGAATCGTACCGATATTGAAGAGAAACCGATATGATTGGGATGATTTCGAAAAGTCTAATTTTGATTATACATAATAGAATAATCGAAAAAATTAGTATGGTACAAATTTTATAAAATAACCGGCTGAACCGAACCATTGACGCCCCTACCACCACCTTCTTGAGGTGCTCCGGTGCGCCCCTATTTTAGTGCCATACCAGAGAGTTCTTATTGCATGCCAGCTGGGTATTCAGGTCCCCAGGGTTCTTCTAGCTCCTATTTCAATGCTATACCAGAGAGTTCATACCGCCCACCGGCTATTCATGCTTCTTCTAGTGGGTCTACAGGCCATCAAGGACAGACATCAGGGCAACAGGTCACCGCACTGCGGGGTTGTTTCAAGTGCGGAGATCTTGGTCATATGAGGAGATACTGTCCTAGACTTCGGGGCAAGGTAGTGCAGCAAGGTCAGCAACCCATGATTGTAGCACCGACTGCCCAGCCGCCCAGAGATTGAGGGCAGACTGGTAGGGGCCATCCTAGAGGTGGAGGCCAGGCAGGGAGAGGTTAGCCAGCTACTACTCAGTCAGGTGGAGGCCAGTCAGTCGGTACTCCATCCAGATTCTATGTTTTTCCAGCCAGACCAGATGCAAATGCCTCATATGCCGTTATCACAGGTATTATTTCTGTCTGTGGTAGGGATGCTTCAGTGCTATTTGATCCAGTGTCTACCTATTCATATGTATCATCTCTATTTGATCATTTTCTAGATATTCCTCACGAGTCCTTGGATACTCCTGTTCATGTGTCCACTCTGTAGGCAATTCTGTGGTTGTGGATCAGATCTACCGGTTCTGTATGGTCACATTCTATGGTTTTGAGTATAGAGCAGACCTCATGTTGCTTGATATGACCGACTTTGAGGTCATCCTAGGCATGGACTGGTAATCCACGTACCACGCCGTCCTAGATTGTCATGCCAAGGCTGTTACTTTAGCAATGCCAGAGTTGCCAAGGTTGGAGTGAAAGGGTTCCTCAGTTAGTACATCTAGTCGGGTTATCTCTTTTCTGAAGGCTCAACATATGGTCGAGAAGGGTTGTTTGACCTATCTAGCTTATGTTCGGGACACCACCGCAGAGTCTCCAACAATTGATTCAGTTCCAGTAGTTCGAGAGTTCGCCGATGTGTTTCCTTTTGACCTTCCTGGCATGCCACCGGATTGTGATATTGATTTTTATATTGATTTTGCTCCAGGCACCCAGACTATATCTATTCCACCGTACCGTATGGATCCGAAGGAGCAGCTTGAGGAGTTGTTAGCAAAGGGGTTTGTTAGACCGATTGTGTCACCTTGGGGTATACCGGTGTTGTTTGTGAAGAAGAAGGATGGGACTATGCAGATGTGCATTGATTATCGCCAGTTGAACAAGGCTACCATTAAGAACAAGTACCCGTTGCCGTGCATTGATGATTTGTTCGACCAGTTGCAGGGTGCTAGGGTGTTCTTTAAGATCGACTTGAGATCAGGGTATCATCAGCTGAATATTCGGGACTCAAATGTCCCGAAGACTACTTTCCGTACTAAATATGGCCATTATATGTTTTTGGTAATGCCCTTTGGCTTGACTAATTCCCCAGCGGCGTTTATGGACTTGATGAATAGGGTGTTTAGACCTTATATTGATTCTTTTGTTATCGTCTTCATTGACGATATCTTGATATACTCACGCAGCTTAGGGGAGCACGAGCAACATTTGAGAGTAGTGCTTCAGACTTTGCGAGAGTAGAAGTTATATGCTAAGTTCCCCAAGTGTGAGCTTTTTTCTAGAGTCAGTAGCATTCTTGGGGCATATTATATCAGGAGAGGATATTAAGGTGGATCTCAAAAATATTGAGGTAGTTCAGAGTTGGCCACGTCATACTTCAGTGACTGAGATTAGGAGTTTTCTGGGGTTAGCAGGTTATTACCGTCGATTTGTGCAGGGCTTTTTATCCATTGCATCACCTTTGACTAGATTGACTTAGAAGGGTGCTCCTTTATGTTGGTCTGATGATTGTGAGGCGAGCTTTCAGAAGCTTAAGACGGCTTTGACTTCAACATCGGTTCTAGTGTGCCTTTCGGTTCAGGGATGTATACCGTATATTGCGACGCTTCACGTGTTGGCTTGGGATGTGAATTGATGTAGGAGGGGCGAGTTATTGCATATGTTTCACATCAGCTGAAGATTCATGAGAAAAATTACCTTGTGCACGACCTAGAGTTAGCAGTGATTATTCATGCTCTTAAGATATGGAGGCATTATCTGTATGCGGTGTCATGTGAGGTTTATACTGATCATCGCAGCTTACAACATTTGTTTAAATAGAGGGATCTCAATTTGAGGCAGCGTAGATGGCTTGAGTTACTGAAGGATTATGACATCACTATTGTTTATCATCCGGGCACGGCAAATGTGGTCGCAGATGCCTTAAGAAGGAAGGCAGGAAGTATGGGTAGTTTGGCATACATCTCAGCGGAGGAGAGACCACTAGCTTTGGACGTTCAGTCTTTGGCTAACTGACTTGTGAGGTTGGATATTTCAAAGCCCAGTCGAGTTCTTGCATGTGTTGTTGCTCAATCTTCATCATTGGGACAGATCAAGGCTCGGCAGTTCGATGATCCGCATTTGGCAGTTCTTAGAGAGACGGTGCTACAGGGTTGTTCCAAGGAGGTTTTTATTGGCGATGATGGTATTCTACGACTCCAGGGTCGCCTATGTGTTCCTAATGTCGATGGCTTAAGGGAGAGGGTTCTAGAGGAGGCACACAGTTCATGGTA